TGATTTAATTAGTCCAGGGTTGGCCCCAGGCATCTCTATTCCTTTTTTCTTTTTCTTTTTTAAAATTTCCCAGGTAACCCTAATGTGAACCCAGCACTGAGAACCAATGCTCCACCTCTCAGGTCAGGAAGGGGGATCTGCTTTGGCAAGGACACAGACCTGAAGGGAAGGCAGAATCAGGACCCCTAAGGCACTTCGAGAACACACAGCTGGGTGCTAGGAAAGCACCCCACCACCCCGGGGTGTGTGACTAGCCTGGGGACGAGGACAGGGGCCAGGGCGGATGGGGAATGGGCACGGTTTGATCCCACTTTCTCCTCTGCTGTGAATCCTCGGGTCCCACCCGTGGCACCCTGGACTCACCGCTGTCCGTTAGCTCCTGGCCGACTTCCTCACTGACCTGGGTAGGCAGAACCAGTAGACACAACAGGGGAAGGTCAGTGGGGCAGTGCTGGCCTGTGCGGTCCTCCCCTCTTCCTTCTCTCCAGCACTCGCCCATCACCTGTCAGGTCTCACATCCCACCCTGTGCTGCAGAGCCCCCCCCCCCCCACATGCCATTGCTACCCCCAGCTGCATTTAGAGGAAAACACTGAGCAGGAGAGACCCTTCCAGGAGGCAGCTCAAGGTCTTGCCTTCCCTTTGGGCTGCATGGACTACAGGGTGGATCTGTGGGTTAGCACCACGCTAACCCATGGCTGGTTCCCGTGTTAGGGGAGGGACAGGAGCACAGAGGGAGGATGCTGACCCCATGGTGTGAAGGCTTGGGACCCCACACATGTACTTCCCCCGGGCTCTGAGCCACGACCACCATGAGCCATCAGAGCACCTTTGTGCAAATTAGGAAAAGGTGTCCCATCTGGAGGGAGGCAGCCCCAAGCCAAGCTCCCTGGCTTGGTGAGCAGAATGTGGGCTGGCCTTCAGTCCCCATGTGCCCTCTCAGCCAGGTGGCCTTGTGAAGGACAAGCCTGTGCATGGATACTCAGTATCCTGCCAGAGACCACGACAGTCCATACAGCAGGCTCTGGGGCACAGTGGCAAGGCCTGCCCAGCCCACCACACCCACCTCCCGTGGCTGGTGCAGCGATGGCTTGCAGGACACCTTCCTGGCCAGGGTCTCACTCTCTGGATCTGCCACAGGACTCTGGAGCAGGGACAGCAGCATGTCTGTCTCAACTGTGATGTCTGCTCCATGAGGGTGAGAAAAGAAAGGAAGCAATGAGCTGGCAGAAGTCCCTTCCCTGTTTTAGACACCCTAACATTTCCTGTGTCCCCTCACCAAAAGCCATTCTGGGTTCCCATACAATCATACACGTGCACAAGGAGGCAAGAATCCTGGGTCCCAGCCTCGGCTCAGCGGGGCCCCGTATGGCAAGTCCCTGACCCTCTGAGTTATCAGAGTCCTTTTCCATAGGATGAGGATTTATCAGTGTTCCATAGAATGGGTGATATCTAAGATGCTCACACTTACACACCTGTGCATTTTCACAGTCCCTAAAAGACGATAACCTCACAGTTCATTCCAGGCCTGTGATCTCACTGGTCCAGGAACATTTCACAAAAGTGGATACTGTACCCCTGAAAGAACCCAGGGCAAGCTGGAGAGCCCAGTAGTGGAGTCAGGCCCAGATGTGTGGCTTCTACCTAACAGCAATGAGGGTTTTCTACTCCACCTCCCATAGGTCACACATTAACACACACAGAGCCCAGACCCCATCCTCAGCTGGCTCTCACTCCCAATGCCATCCTCCTAGCTCGTTGATGCAGATTCTGTCTTAAAAAGGCATTCCAGGCCCTAGTGCTGCAAGTGTCTTGCAGAGCTCTCAGTAGTGGCCTCGGGGGCCCAGTCATCTCCCCTCCTGGCCCCACCCAGCTCCCAGTCCCTGGGCAGGTGGGGCTGGATGACCACCTGGAAAGCATGGCCTCTTCTTGGGGTCCTGGTCCCAGCAGCGCCTCATCAGGTCCACCATCTGCTGGGCCTCACCTGGCCACTTACTGGACACAGGCTGCAGGGAGGGCCGCATGCCTGCAGCCACCCGGATGATAATGGTCATCATGCTGAACCCTGTGAGAGGCAGCCCGGGCTGTGTGGGTGCTGGGAGCAGGGGCAGAGGGGCTGGGCAGGAGGGCAGTCTCTGAGGATCCCACCAAGGTGTGCACACAGTTGGAGCTCCATAAATACGTGGCGAATAAACAGCTAGATTTCAGACCAACTTGAAGGTCTGACTTGAGCAACTGAGTCTCTCTGGTCCACTCTGGCCACTTCTCAGGTCAAGACCAGATAGGACCCCACCCTGCAGGCCTTTGCTGTCCAAAGGCAGCAGGACTGACGGACAGGGTAGCTATGGCTCCCAACCCAAACCTGCCACTTGTTCTGCCCTCACTAACCCTCAGCCCTCTCATAGCTCCCTCCAGGACCCCATCTGAGCCCCAGCCCACAGAGCCCCAGTCGCCTGCTACCTGAATACGGCTCCTTCTCAGTGAGAAGCTCCCAGATGACAATCCCGAAGCTGTGGATGGAGAAAACGCTCCCTAAGGGACTTTGCTGGCCAGCCCCAGCCAGGAGGCCCTCCGGACGACAGTCCTAGGCCAAGTCTCTCCAACCAGAGTCCTTCCCACCTCTCCCCCTCCCACATGGGCAGGGAGGGGCCAGACCTTACCCCTGTCCCACTCTGCCCTGCCCTGCCCTTTGAGCCGTAGGGGCTTGGCGAGGTGGCGGCCACGAGCTGCCTCCTGGGTATGTACACGGCGCCCAGCCTCCCTCTTACCTGTACACATCATATTTGGGTCCTGGGGCCTTGCTGCTCTCCAGGAACATCTCAGGGGGGATGTAGCTGAGTGTGCCCCGCAGAGCTGACCTCTCAATGTACTGCATCCTGGTTGTCTGTTCCATCCACTTGGACAGGCCAAAGTCTGAAATCTGGGAGAAAGCCAGAGGCAAGGGATAGGGTCACAGTAGAGTCTTGTTTCCAGAAAGCTGCGTTGGTTTCTCACCCCTCCCACTATCTCCCTGGTCCCTTAGTGTGCAGCGGTTTTCTACTGTACTGTCTCCCAGCTCAGCCACTTATTACTACCTAGATAATCTTGGACAAGTTACTTATCCTCTCAGTTTCCTCATCTGTAAAGTGGAAATAACGTGAGTACTTTACTCATAGTGCTATCATGAGCATTAAATGAGGAAATATGCAAAAAGCACTTAGAATAGTGCCTGGCATGTGATGAGTACACGGTACATGTTGCCTTTATCCAGAAAGACTATGGATCAAGTTACCATCTTCAGTGAGATTCTGTTCATCCCACCTCCACGGGTCCTGAAATACTTACACCATGTACAATAACCCCCACTTTGCTTCCATCCATTGAGTCATTCATTTGCTAACTGGCCATTTATCGAGGGCCAACTAGGCTGGGGACTAAGAATCAGGTGGCACATAAGAAAGATGTGACACCTCCCACACACTCTGCACC